GGTATGAAAACACGGAAGAACAGGTGAAGAACTAACCTTGAAGATTATTGAGGAACGAAGAACACTCGAACGAGATTCACTCTCTAGAAAATTTGGCAGCACTTCGTTAGCTCAGGTCACAAATGAGGATTTCGCTTCAGAGGGGAGGGGTATTTATAGACCTCCTCCCAACAGTCATTACACGTGGCACCCCCTCATTGGTCACACAAACGGCCACCACCCCAAGGACCAATGAGGTGCCACCGCTTCAAATGATGGGTCAGGCCCACTTCCGGCACTATCAGCCCAATCCCAAGGGATACGCGACGGTTCAACGGACCAGCAAGTTGCGCCTACATCGGCCAAAACATTCAACGGCCACACCAAAGGAGAGAGATGATCTCTTCACGCTTACAAGTTGCACCTACGTTGACTCCAGCGGTCAACATTACTCCAACGACTTACCACATATCAGGACGACACCTCGGCATCAAAAGCCCTACGGTGCGCCTGTATCGGCTGAACAAATCACCAACAACATGGCCTCTTCAATGACCACAAAAGCAAGGTAGAGTAGGACCTAACAGCCATCGGTCCTCGTATAAACCTACTGCTGATAACCTTTTGAAAGCGACCTGCGTCCAAGGGTTCTCCTCCCACAGGGTTACCTTGGTCAGGAATCGCCAAGAGGTTGGATTCAGGGGGATACGAGGATCCCGCTTCGGCCTGGGGTTTTACTTTACTCCTTCACCCCACACTCATTCTTCGGCCCGAAGCAGTGGGGGACTGGGGGACTACATCGGCCTTCAACACAAAGATGAAAATTGAAAACCCAAGAAGCCAAGCATACAAGTACAACGATGACATTACATCATCTGCACACCACAACGTCCAAAAGGTGACACACATCGTCCAAAGACATATGAAGCCCCAGAGGACGCGAATCAAAACGCCAACATTATGGAAACGTCCATAGCCCAAATGTTCCGCCTCCGACCAAGGTAGGAGAACAACATCACACTCATAGGCTACTCAAGCTAGGACACTCATCGTCCTCAAACATAAGAGCACGCACCATCCTCAGAGCAAGGACCTCCTTCGTCCACAGCAGAGGCCACACAACGGCCAAACACAGAGAATAATCACAGCGGTACCGCGTCGGCCAAAAAAGGCAAGACCACAGGAATCTACTCCCTTTCACTTCGTCTGCATCTCAGCTCATAGAGTGGGGGACTCCTGATGGAGTATATGGGTCCAGACCCCATGACCCACATTCAGAAGATTAAGAGGAAGCACAGCTCACCTAGTGGGTCCTCCTTCGCCAGAGGACCCTCCATCGACCAAGAAGACATCGACTCACAATATAATCCGGAAGCCAGGAGAACCGGATGCCTCCCTCGGCCGGGCCTTCGTCGGCCAGGTCTCCTTCGGCCGGACCTCCATCGGCAACTGAGAGCTCACAAAGCTGGATTTCATACTTAGCCAGTTTGAACACTTTGTATTCGGCCCAATAGAGGTCTCATTGTAATCGGGCCTCCCAAGCCCAAGACTTGGGAGTCCAGCTCATATTTTCCCTATAAATACTCCCCCTGGAGGTAGTTGTAGGGGGTTGACAAATACATTTATTACATACTTATTGCACTTCTCTCTCTAGCTCTCACTTCTCACTAAGAGTTAATACTTTATGAGCCCATTTGGAAATTTAAAAAGACAACCAACGCAGCTAACCAAGTCCATTGTCGACTTCACAATGCAACTCCACAGTTTAGAATTGCGCAGCTTGGCACACGACGGTCACCGCACACCGAGTAGCAGAGTAGGAGACAGTCGATAGCAGTCAAGCCCGTAGCCCTGATTTAGCAATTTCCGATTGTCTGGACTCCGGTCTCCGATTAACTATCAGGCATTCAGGCATGAGTAATTCGGTAATTCTTCCGTCAATTACTCAAGTAGTCTTTCCTTTAGCTTTTAATCAATTTTGTAATTAGAGCTTTCTAGTTTCGACTTGGTCTTTGCTTTCTTAATACGGAGTATAATGGAAAAGGTAGAAATATACCCTTTGTAACATAGGTATATTATCTCTCATGTTTTATTTTTTGGAACAAATATATCTCTGAAGTTTATGTGGAAGTGCATATATAACCCTTAACTTTGAAAAGGTGCAAAAATATTCATCATGATCCTATAAAAGAGCAAATTTACCTTCATTGACTTTAAATACATAAAATAAATTTCAACAATACACCAAAAATAAATTATAAATTTGAAATTGAAAAATAAAATAAAATGCTACTTTTGTCCAATTCTCCCTTTTATTGTTTTTATATCACAATTTAATATTTTTAGTATAAAATATTGTTTCAAAACTTTACTATATATTTAAGATTCTTTCGGGAAAGTGTTAATTTTTTGTACTCTTTGCACTATAAAATTACATATTTTGTATGATGGTAAATAGTCCAAGATTACAAAATAGTGAATTTAATTTTATTAAGGTTAAATAAAATCAAAGAATGTTATTTCAATAATGTGTTTAATATTTATTAATTTTAAGTGCTTCATTAACAATGGAAAAATAATAATGTTGCAATTTAAAATTAAAGAGTTAATATTTTAACATAAAAAGAAATCGTTATTTTGAAATCTTAATTTTTTTATTTTTCAATTTTGAATTTATATTTTATTTTTACTATTTTTAAAATTTATTTTATTTATTTAAAGCAATAAGAGTAAATTTGCTCATTTATAGAAACATGAGTGGTATTTTTGCACCTTTTAAAAGTTCAGGAATATATATGCACCTCCACATAAACTTCAAGGTTATATTTGTTCCAAAAAATAGAACAGGGATATATTTGTTCTCACATTCATGTTATAGGAGTATGTTTGTATCTTTTACCTTTATTTAATAAATTGTCGGTCTGCAAGTGAGTAGGGGTGGACTTGTCGACTTTGGGGACTGGGGTAGTGCGCTAGTGTTGTCGACTTGGAGCATAATTTTATAAATTTCTTATAAAATTATAACAAATTTATAAATTTATTTTTAATAATTTTTTTATAAAGTTGATAAAATATGTTGGTATTGTCTCCCGACCTCAAGGCGTTGTGAAGATCGCGACGGCGGATCTGTCATCCAAACCATCAACCTTCAATGATTCCTCCCTCCAACGAACTAGGAAGACAATCAAAGTCTCCTGGCGTCTTTGTTTGACCTCCAGGAGGTGAGAGAAATTCTTTTTGGAGTCCTTGGAGCTGGCAAATAGTGTGGTGAACGCTTGGGCTAATTCCCTGAAACTCTGGATCCTCCCGTCAAGTAAAAAGAGCCATTCCATTCACGGGCTGGCCCATCTAGTGTCACCGAGAATCCTCTGCATCTGGTTGTGTCATTGTACCCCATCATCACCATGTAGGCCATGTACCTAGAGACATGGTGTTGGGGATCCGTCTTCCCTCAGTAGGCCTCAATGTTGCAAGGTTTATACCCCTGTGGTAGTGGGGCATCCATGATCTGACGGATGCACGGCTCGGGAATCCTCACATCATGATTGAGGTTAATCCTGTTATCCACTACCCTCATGAGCTCCTTAAGTCTCTTTTGATATCATCGTTATCATGGCCGGCATGGGCATGAGGTGGGGAAGTGCGGTCTCCACGGGCACGCAGATGTGCGTTGATCTCGTCTTTGAGATCTCCCCCACGCGCGCTGCGATGGTGGGAGGAAACCGCCGTGGATGGCTTCATCACTTCTTTCCACCCTAGAGGAGAGCCTCTCATGCGCAGAAACCCTCCGTCCTCCAATCCGGTCCATCACCGAAGTCCTCGGGTCTGTCAAGAATGGTGAGACCGTTGAGACCTGACTGAAGGTGAATTCATCTGGCGCTACGCAGACACTCCCTCCTCCCGTAGAGGAACAGATGGATTCCGGTGCGGGGAAGGAGGTATTTCGTTCGTGTTGGGAACAATTTCCATGAAAGGTAGTGGTTAATGTTTCCACAGCCCTTTGGAACGTTGCCAAACTGGTCAACGCTTGTGCATGATCTACGCTTGGGATGAGATTCCCGGTGGCCGTCTTCTGCAATTGTGATGGGCGTGTTGCGGGACACCTAGAACTCCCAGCGCCTTGCAGGTGATTTCTCAAATCGCCCTGAGTCACCACGTTGTTGTTTCTTCTCTGGGAATCGCTCCGCCGCGAATGAGACCCTTCGTCCTCGATCACTACCCGATCTAGTCGAGCACCACCTCGATTGCTGCCAACACGATTGTGATTGTGTGATCCAACCATCGTCATCGTAAATCGTTCTCTCAACGAGAGCACCAAATGATGGAGTTTAATCCAACTACGAGAGCTTAATCTACGAGAGTAGATGAAATTCAGGCAGTGTAAGGCAATATTGTTATTCCAGAATTCGGATCCTTGGTATGGTATGTACAGAAAGTATTTATAAGCCTTAGGTTCTAGTATTATAGGAGGAAACTGATATATTTAATGCAATTAATTAGAATAGAGTCGCATAACGTCTCGAACGTTGTGCTGCAATGATTGTTTTCTTCAGGTCCACGTTCCTTCCGTTATTTCCCGCCACTGTCACATAGTTATGCACGAATGATAACCTGCCACATAAACCCTAGGAAGAGTCCGACCTCGCTAGAACTCCGTCCAGGCTCGAGGTCTGCTGTCCAGGGCGGCCTGGTTGTGAGTTCCTCTCACGGGTTGGTTTGTTAATTAGGCTCATCGACTATTATCTATCATTAACCCCGATAAATGGGTTGATCTCGTTGATGGGCTTTACTTTAATTCAGTCTTGGGTCATGTTTGTAATCCATGGTACCATCACACTCATTTTAGTTTTTTTAAACTAAAAGCTTAAAAACATTTTTTAGAATTTTTAGCAAACACTCCCTTAATCCTAAAAGAATTTGGGTCGAGTAATATGAATCTGATAGAGTGCTTCTTTGATAAAGCCCGGTTGAAAAATCCTAAAAATATCAACTAAACTTGTTCGGATTTTAAGGCTTTGACAAAAAAACACCCGTTAAGAAAAAATTTAATTGGGTCAGCCCTCCTGAGATTCTTCTCAGTTCTTCCCTCTTCGGTATCTTCGCGGAATCACGGCCCACCTAGGCAGTGCACAGGCGATAAAGACTGCAGGATTGCAGGCGTACGCTCGGACAGCGCCGCCCACCAATCCGCCTGCAAACCAGGCCTCCGAAGGTACGCCGACGTTTCGTTCTAGTATAACTGCAGTCTGCAGTTCGCATTTCCGGCCGGTCCAAGCGGTCAAGACTCCGGCGTGGCAGCGTTGGATTCTTAGAATTGCAGATTCGCAGGTTCCGGAGGTCACAAGAGAGATATCCAGGTTTGCCGTGACCTACTCTTGAATATTTGAAATACAAAATGCCAAATGTGATTTTTTCAAATATATGACTGAAATGAAACTAATGTACAAACTATGACTATTAGTTACTGTAGTCATATAAATTACTGTTCTGTATATTTAAGTTATTACTAACTACATTTACAAATTCACATTTTTGTAAATAACATATTTTTAGTCTTCGTTATTTCTTCTTAAATTAATTAAATGACATGAATTTATGAAATACTCCGTATGTTTTATTGTTCAGCTATGAAAAATTATTATTCGTATAAAAAGACTACCTTTAATATAAAATTATAAATAATACTTCTGGAATTAATTGCATTACCTATGTTTTAGTTATCAGAAAAATCTATGTTTTACTCATTCTAATCCCCCCAATGTAAATTCCAGATATGGCAATGCAAGGAACCCCCAAATTAGATGCCTTGGGTTACGACAATTTTCACTTCTGTTGAGTGATGGCAGCGAGCTTGGTTCATAGAGCTACTCATGACGCAGAGAATCCCCTAGAAGCTTCTCTCAGAGAAGCTTTCAACCTTCACGAAGGTGATCTACAACCTCCCTTTGCTCTGAAATCCCTCTCCCAAAAACAGTACTCACGTCTACAACTAGTAGCTTCTGATAAAGCTGAACCAAACACCGAACACGACGATGTGATTCTCGACTCTCTCTTCAGAAAATTTTACGAGAACTCACAATCTCCACCTCCTGCATACACTCCAGAGTCAACATCAACTCCAACAGCAGAGATTCCGCTCCTCACAGGACCAGATGATGTAACATCCACACCCTCAACTCCTCAAACCAATCTCAGAGGTGTGGATGATCACGGCTTTGGTATAAGTCCGGAATCATCTCCACTACACACCACAGTTGCCCCAGAGCCTTCAAACTCATATCAGGACTCAGATCAACCAATAATTACTCCAACTCCTCTAGCTCATGAGAGGAAGTGGACGAGAGCACATCCTGTTGAACAAATAATAGGTGATCCAAGTCAAGGTGTGCGAACAAGATCAGCAACAAAAAATGAATGTCACTATGCATGTTTTCTAAGCAAGAATGAACCGTCCAAAGTCTCAGAGGCACTCGCTGATCCAGATTGGGTGATTGCCATGCCAGATGAGCTCAATCAGTTTGACAGACTAGATGTGTGCACACTCGTGCCTAAACCCCCTCAGAAAACCATCATTGGCACTAAATGGGTGTTCAAGAACAAGAAGGACGAAGAAGGCATAGTGATACAGAACAAGGCACGACTGGTCCTTAAAGGATATAATCAGCAAGAGGGCATAGACTATGATGAAACATTTGCACCCGTAGCAAGAATTGAAGCAATCCGCCTTTTTCTTGCGTACGCGGCCCACAAGAACTTTACCGTCTTTCTAATGGACGTCAAGACTGCCTTTCTGAATGGAGTCTTGGAAGAAGAAGTCTATGTCGCTCAGCCCGAAGGATTTGTAGATCCCAGATATCCCGACCATGTGTACAAGCTAAAGAAAGCTCTGTAAGGGTTGAAACAGGCACCAAGAGCTTGGTATGATGCATTAACCGAATTTCTGGTTGACTCAGGTTTCTCAAAAGGGAAGATTGATACCACACCTTTCATCAAACGACAGAAGTCTGACATCATCCTGATTCAGATCTATGTTGATGACATTATCTTCGTCTCCTCAAATCCACGTCTGTGCAAACACTTTGAGAAACTGATGAAAACCAAGTTTGAGATGAGCATGATGGGCGAACTGAATTTCTTCCTAGGCCTGCAAGTAAGACAACTCTCTGACGGCATTTTCATCAATCAGTCAAAGTATATTCTGGAAATGCTTAAGAGATTCAACATTGATGGCAAATCTTCCATGACGACCCCCATGTCCCCAAACAACAAACTGGACTCCGATCCCTCCGGGAAGCCAGTTGATGCTACAAACTACAGGGCCATCATTGGATCTTTGCTATATCTCACGTCAAGTAGGCCTGACATTGTCTTCTCCACATGCTTATGTGCACGCTTTCAGGCAAATCCGAAGGAATCCCATCTGACCGCTGTTCGAAGAATACTGAGATACCTCAAAGGCACTGTGAATCTAGGCCTTTGGTATCCCAAGCACTCAGGTTTTGACCTAGTCGGATACTCGGATGCTGACTTTGCTGGTTGCCGGATGGACCGCAAAAGTACATCGGGAGCTGTCCAGTTCTTGGGCGATAAGTTAGTCTGCTGGTCTTCCAAGAAACAGAACTGTGTGTCAACATCTACGGCCGAGGCAGAATACGTCGCGGCTGCTAGCTGTTGTTCACAAATATTATGGATGAAGACCCAGCTAAAGGACTACGGTTACACTCTCCGCCATATCCCGATCTACAGTGACTCACAGAGCGCCATCGCCATCACCAGCAACCCGGTTCATCACTCCCGCACCAAACACATCGACATGCGCTATCATTTCATCAAGGATCATGTGGAGAAAGGAGACATTGACATATATTTTGTAAGCTCAGAGCTTCAACTGGCTGACTTGTTCACTAAGGCATTGGATGAAAAACGATTCCAGTTCCTAGTCTTCAAGTTGGGCATGTTGAACCTCGAGCCTGTCTGATTATGTCTCCACTGATTTAAAAAGTGTGTGTGTGTGGGACTTGTAAAAAGTGTGTGTGCGTGTGCTTTGTAAATAGTGTGTGTGCGTTGCATGTGTTGAGGGGGAGAAAACCAGAAAAATAACAAAAAATAGTGTGCGTGTGTTGCATGGGTTGAGTTTGTGTAAAAAATCAAAAAGAACAAAAAATAGTGTGTGTGCGTTGCATTTGTACATATTGTTCGTTGCATTTTTTGAGGGGGAGAAAATTTTCACTGTTTGAGGGGGAGCTATTTTTCACTGATTAAGGGGGAGTTCTCTATTTTTACTGGTTTTGGGCCTCGAAAATTTTAAAAGGGCACTGTGTGCCAGCCCAATCATTCGGGCTCAACTATTACGGAGGAGGTCCAAATTTTTACTCGCGTATATAAAACCTCGCGAAAAACCCTTCAGTCCATATCACACTGTATTTTCGCAAGGATTTTTCGCAAACCAGAGCTCCCTAACCCGTCTCCTTCCCGAAATACTTCCTTCTCCTGTTTCTTCTTCCCAACTAAACCTACGAAGGTAGTTCTTTGTTTCGAAATCGAAATTGCAAAATCGAATTCAAACGAACTTGTTCTCACGAAACGATCGTATTTTTCTCAATCTCAAAATCAAAAGGGTTTTCGTGTGTTTCAAGGTCGAAATCTTTGTATATTGTTTATCGAATCTTATGCTTTTGAATTTGCAGGTGGGATCGACATTACGAGATATATGATCTCGATATTCAAATCTCCAGATCTCGAGTTCGTCGATTCATCTTCGAGAGAGATCTCGAGATTTGAATCTCGAAATCAAGATCTCGAGATTTGAATCTCGATATCTTGATCTCGAGATTTGGATCTCGAAATCCTGATCTCGAGATTTGGATCTCGAAATCCTGATCTCGAGATTTGGATCTCGAAATCCTGATCTTGAAATTTGGATCTCGAAATCCTGATCTCGAGATTTGGATCTCGAAATCTTGATCTCGAGATTTGGATCTCGAAATCTTGATCTCGAGATTTGGATCTCGAGATTTGGACTTGAAATGTTGTTCAGAAATTCCACCTGCATAAATTGTGTGGAACCTGCAAACCAAAACTCTTTCAATCTAATCTCAGAGAAATCAAACCGATGAATTTCATATGCTGACCCCCTGTTTTCACAGCTCATTATGGCAGGTACACAAAAGAGACATAACATCGATGATGCCATCTACTCTCAAGACAAATGGATCAAGGTGTTGGACAATAACTTCCAGTTAGACCTTGCAGTCTTCAAATGCCAGAACCCGATAGTTCCAGCCATCATGAAGGGTCACTATCTCTGGCCTGCACTTCACAACTCAAAACCGGTGCCAGAGATATACCTACAACAGTTCTGGGGGCACACGCATACAGAATCTCCAAAGGATCGATCAAAAATAAAGACCAAGCTGAATGGCATGCGCGTGATCCTGACGCCATCAACACTGCAATCCACATTAGTGGTGCCAGTCCGAGATACATATGATGCGCTGCCGTCAATCCCAGATCTACTGAAAGACGTAGCATCACTAGGCTACACGTCTCTACTGCCACAACTGTCGAACTTCAACGGCGCGTATCTCAGTCACCCGTGGAAGAATCTCTTCGGGCTAGTGAACAAACGCTTGTCTCCAAAGCATGCTGGTTTCGACAAATGCAACAAGCAAATATTGCTAGTCTTCCACGGGATCGCCTTCAACAAACACTACGACTTGGCACAGCTTTTCTTCTTAGAGCTAATGGACCTGGTCAAGGCCAAAGAAAAGAATAGGCCAGGTACCATTCCGTACGCAAGGTGGATTGGACTAATCATCAACGACTGCATGGCAGAGCACGCCTCCATACCTAGACGCAGTACAGATCCTCACTTCACAGCACCAAAGCTGCAATACTTCAAAGCGGACAAGAACCCGACCTACGGTCTGCGGATCCCTAGATTTCTGCTCAACCTTGTAAGGTCTTCAAACCCAGCTGTTCAGCAGTACAAGGAAGCCTCAGAGAAGACCGTCCCTATGGTTCAGCAAAACCCAGCTGGACCTACCCAAGGGACAAAGCCGAGTGTGAGTAAGGGTCCTAAGAGAGCCCAAAAGCCACAGAAACCAGTGGCCGGTTTGCCCAATGAAGGAAAGTCTGACGACTCTCGTGAGACGAGTCAGGCGGCTGAGGGCACCGAAAAAGACGTTGAGGAAACGGCCAATGAATCGTCCAGTGAAGCCCAAACAAACACTGACGACGAGGCTTCCGAGAGCGTGGGCACAGAGAGTGAAGAATTTGGCTCGGATGATGACGATAATGACAACGATAGTGATGATGTGGAGCTCACATATGCTCTGATCAGAAAAGGGAAGCTGCCCGTCGAATCTCCGAAGAAGAGAAGAATTACTGCTGAAGACGCAGCACCAATCATAACTCGCAGACCTCAAGTCTTCACTATAAAAGAAAAGGCTAAACCAAGAGCTGATCCGAGCGAGACAAATTGCTCCAAGGATGATTACGACGAGGCGGCTCATTCCATTAAGACATCAATCAACTCAGAAGAAGTCGTCATCCGAGAGACCAGGGCTAAGGTCAAGAATGACAAGGCTGCCAAGGCCAAGACCCAGCCCCAAGCCAGAAAAAGCCTGTTTGATAAGGCAGACGAGCACATCTTCTCGGGCTGCGACTCCTTTATCCAGATAAGCCGAGCCGAATCCCTAAGCACAGGAACCAATCTTTTCGGTTCCCGGGTAGAAGTCGCAGCATCTGGCTCAACTGCGCATGCACAGCCCTCTCCCAACCACTCAATTGCCTCTCAAAAGGCCATTGTTTCAAAAGAACGGGACTCAACCCCCTCGCTGGTTCCTTCTGAATCAGTTGAGCATACAATTGACCTATCTCCCGAGGTCAAAACCCCTTCTTCTCTCACATCAAGTCTAGGTGTCACATTCCCCACATTTTCTTCATTTTCTAGGACACCTACACTATTCACTGCACATACAGGTGCACTCACCCTGAACGCAACAACCAGAGCGCAAGCTATGACGGTTGGAAGCCCTGCTACGCCCATAATTATTCCATCATTAAATGCAGGCCACACATCAGCAATCTTCACTGATGCTGTGTCAACAGTTACAACCCCCGTAACTGGTCACCCAACCTTTGAAGACGTAAACGTTCTACTAAATAGCTTCCTAGATTCCACCATTAAACCATGGGTGCAAGATGCAATGACCGCTCTAGCACAGGAATTTAGGACCACCCAAGCGGTTCGGTCTGAACAACCCCCACCCCAACCTTCACCCGAACCTTTCATTTCCCATACACAACCCGTATCCTCCACCCCTCTATCTCACCAATCCATCAACCAAATTCTCATTCCTTCACTTTCTCGGGGAACCCAGGATACAGAACCAGTATTCTCCCCACACCCGACCACACCCTCCATCGATCTCTCCTCACTATCCTTCGACACTCTTGCATCGGCTTTCCTGAACAACCTCCTAAACACTCTTGAAGACAAACTTACCCTTCATCAGCAAGCCATACTCGAAGCCCTCCTTTCTTCACCAGAAACCAAGAGCAAGTGCAAGGAGAGTCCTCGTGGTCGCAAACGTTCCCATGAGGACCCCGATGATTCGGATCCTCATGAGGGGGAGAACAAGCGACCTCGATCACTTGAGCAAACTGCTTTACCAAGCAAAACACCACAGCCCATCCAACCCGAAACCTCGAAAAACCAACAGCCACCACCCACAGCCAAAATATATAGCCTGGTCGAGCTAGAAGTAACATCCCGCGACGTATCTCCCAGAGATACCAACCGAGGAGGGGATGGAAGTCTTGATGATGCTACCACTGGTACATCTTTTACATCAGGCCATCAGTTGGAACCTAGTTCTAAACTGATGTCAACGGGCAATCCAAGTGAACCCGGTTGTGCTACCCAGGAACAATCACCGCCTCAAAAGCAGCAAAGAGTTCCATACATTTCCCCAGGCAAGGACATCCACGATGCACTGGAGGAGGCGGTGATATATGATAAATGGCCAAGACAATGGACAGAATGGGATGATCTCCGCAATGAGGCTGAAGTAGAGGACATGCAGAGAAATTGGTGGCTACGAGAGCTAATCAACAAATGCTCTGAAGATATCATTAGGCTCGAAGACGATGAACGCAAGGAAGGGGAGAACTACAAGGAATCCCAGAAAACTCTTGAATCCGTCGTAAGACAATCAGCGGGAAGACTTCCCAAGACAGAGAAACCCTGGGACAACGTTCGAATCAAAGCCCCCTTCCAAGAGGAAATCAGAGAGCATATCTGGCGTAGACCAGACAAAGTCAAACCGCTGAATGAACTGAAGCTAAGAGGCCTTACTCATCTAAAAGGAAAACAGGCTGGAGGTCATCTGCATATGCTATTACAAAGGTCAACCGGTACTCAGAGAGAACTGATGGAACAAGATCTGAAGTCCAATATTCTCCCGATTCATCAAATTCTACAAGTGAAGGCTGAAGATTATCACGGAGTGACATTCTATACTTACAGACTTCAACGCACTGACGGGAGTGAATTTACTTGCCAAGAGAATGACTTCATCATGCTTAAACCCGTCAAGGAGAGTCTTCGTGGTCGCAAACGTTCCCATGAGGACCCCGATGATTCGGATCCTCATGAGGGGGAGAACAAGTGACCTCGATCACTTGAGCAAACTGCTCTCCCAAGCCAAACTCCACAGCCAATTCAACCTGAAACCTCAACAAACCAACAGCCACCATCCACAGCCAAACTATCTAGCATGGTCGAGCTAGAAATAACATCCCGAGGCGTATGTCCCAGAGATACCAACCGAGGAGGGGATGGAAGTCCTGATGATGTTACCACTGGTACATCTTCTCCATCAGGCCATCAGTTGGAACATAGTTCTAAGCTGATGTCAACGGGCAATCCTAGTGAACCCGGTAGTGCTACACAGGAACAATCACCGCCTGAACAAAGAATTCCATATATTTCCCCAGGCAAAGACATCCATGATGCACTGGAAGAGGCGGTGATATACGACAAATGGCCAAGAAAATGGACAGAATGGGATGATCTTCGGGTTGAAGCCGAGCAAGAGGACATGCAAAGAAACTGGTGGCTACGAGAGCTAATCAACAAATGCTCTGAAGATATTATAAGGCTCGAGGACGATGAACGCAAGGAATGGGAGAATTACAAAGAATCCCAAAAGACTCTTGAATCGGTCGTGAGACAAACAGCGAGAAGACTTCCCAAGACAGAGAAACCCTGGGATAATGTTCGTATCAAAGCCCCCTTCCAAGAAGAAATCAGAGAGCATATCTGGCGTAGACCAGACAGAGTCAAGCCACTGAATGAACTAAAGCTAAAAGGCCTTACTCACTTGAAAGGAAAACAGGCTGGAGGTCATCTGCATATGTTGCTGCAAAGGTCAACCGGTACACAGAGAGAACTAATGGAACAAGATCTGAAGTCGAATATTCTCCCGATTCATCAAATT